AATGGAAAGGAAACAAAGTGTATAAATTTTTAAAATAAAAAATAAAAAACGAAAAAAGGAAAAAAAAAATTGTTAAGATCTAAAAAAACTTAATTTATAAAAATATATTTTGGTTATTAAAATTTAATATTCTTTAATAAAAATCGAAAACGTTGTATTAGTGTCTCATTACAGAGTTGGGTTGAAAAAATCTTTTGGACCAATTTAAATAAAATTCACAATCCGGACTCAATCCAACTCCTTATTTTTGAGTTGGTTCGGTTTACTTATTCACGGTATATATTACATTAATAACGAACTTCATAAAATTCAAATATTTTATTTGTCAAAAAGCATCTCTAAAATTAGTTACGAATGTGAAAATATTTTTAATATTTTTAAAAGTAGACTTCAAAAATTCAAACAAATCTAAATAAAATAATAATAAAAAATATGGTAGTTGATTCGTATTATCTAGTCATATGAACACTAATTTTTTATTTCTTTTCAAATATAATATAGAAGTAATTTTAGTTTTTTTTTTTACGTGAATGGTTCGATGATTTTCCAAATAAAAACGGAACCCAAAAATTATAGGGACAAATTGGTAATTTAGGTGGAAAAGGAATGAAAGAAAAACATACCTGCCGAGCATCATGACAGTAGCCTGAGGGTTAGTTCCAGGGGAATCATGAAAAGTGGAGCCATCAACAACCCGTAAAGAATCCACTCCCAAAACCTTGTAATCGGAATCCACCACCGACCCCGTCTGGCAGCCGCCGTGGTAATGCCAGATCGTCATCACCGTGTCTCTGCAGTACTGCTCCGTCGACCTCGACAAGTTGTCGTGCTTCGGCAGCAGGTTGATCGGAGCACTCGCCGTCATGTTCAGAAGCGTCGCCATCGACACGTTTTGGTATCGGAACCTGGCGAAGGATTTTGATTCGATGATTCGCCGGATTATGTTTATGCCGGCGACGCAGCGGTGTAGGTCAGTCGGATCTTTGAAGTAGTTGAATGTGACGGACGGGTTGTCGTTCGGGTCTCGGGTTCGGAGCTCCAAATGACCCGAGGAGAGTGGGCCCATTATCTTTTCAAGGATGAAGCCGCCTCTGAATGCGGCTTCGTCCAGTTTGTTCATAAGCTCCCAGGCTTCGGCTATGGCTTCTGGTGTTCTTTGCTTCGGTGGCACTGTCGATAGCTGACCGATCTGCCCACAACTTTATTTCCTTAAATTACTAATCAATTTTTAAACTTTAATATTCAATTAAAACACAAAATTCATAAATTTTATGAAAAATTTTAGTTTATAAAGTCTACAAAATTAAAAATATATATAATTGTAAAATTGTAAAATCCATACCTTAGGAGAGAACATGCCGAAGTCTCTGGAAGAAGGGCCGCCGGCGAAGCTCTCGCCGCTGGCGGCTTCGATGTACGTTCCGTTATGGGTAATTCCGACGACCTCAATCAACGACACCTCCACCGAAACGGGGGATGGAACGAAAACGGCGTTCATTGGGTTATCGGACACCCTCTGCCCGACCATGGGCTGATCCAAAAGCACAGTAATGTTATGGGCCTTTAGATGTTGGGCCGGGCCCAGTCCACTTAGCATCAGAAGTTGTGGGCTTCCAAGACAGCCCGCTGATATGATTACTTCGCTCTCAGGCCCATTCCTTAGGTACGCTCTGTGTTTGATTCCCTTCGAGTCTTCGAAGACCACTCCGTGGGCCCTTGGCCTTTTGCGTCCTATTAAAAAAAAAAAAAAAAAAAACGGAAACCAGCATTTAAATTTATTTTAAATTAATAATTATATTACAAAAAAAAACTTTTAAATAAATAATTAAATTGAGTTTAAAAAATATGGCAATCCAACCTAAACCCGGGAACAATTTGGCAGAGACTCTACCCAAAAAATATAGCAACCTACCAATAATTGGATAGAGTCTAAAAAATATCGTAACCCAAGTAAAATCCGTGAACAATTGGGCAAAATCTAAAAAATATGGCAACTCGAGCAAAACCCATGAACAATTAAGCATAGTCTAAAAAAATATGGCAACCTGAGCAAAACCCGCAACATAAAAAGTATAGCAACTCAAGCAAAACCCCTAAACAATTGGGCATAAAAAAATATGGTAACTCGAGCAAAACCCATTAACAATTAAGCAGAGTCTAAAAAAATATGACAACTCGAGCAAAACTAGCAAACAATTAGACATAAAAAGCATGGTAACCCGAGGAAAATCGGGTAATTTGAGTTACCTTTAGTTTGGAAAAGGATGGTATGTGCAGTGGCGTAGAGGAAGAGAGTTAGATTAGGAGGGTTGGCATAGGTCAAAAGATCAGCAGCCGTGTGTCTATGTCCGTGACGATCGAAAATGGTACCACCCACTTTGGTACCATACAAGTGATCATAGGTGAACCCATTATCAGGCACCACACCCACATCAACCAAACCGCCCCTAACCGCCGACTGCCACTTCCCCATCCGCGGTTCGAACGCCACCACCCTCTCCACCCACTCGTACGACTCGTTCACCAACTTCGCGTCCCATCCCGCCTCCCTATCAAACAATTACAATCACAATTTCATTTCAAATACTTTTTTTAAAATTATTGCGTTACTTTTGTAGTGCGACGAGAACCTGACGTAATCAAGTGACGCACGTGAGTAAAATCCGGCATTGAGGCAGCTTCCGCCGCCGAGGACACGTGCGCGAGCGTTGATCACGCCGTCCTCCGACACGAAACGTTGCGACGGCGAAGATTCCGACAGGTCGGCAAGTGCGGCGCCGAAGGCCGATAAGTTGGTGATATTGGAGTTTCCAAACGGAGAACCACCTCGTTCTAACATCAATACCTTGTAATTTTCCGACAGCGTCGCCGCCAACGGACATCCCGCCGTCCCGCCTCCTACGATTATGTAGTCGTAGTGTGACACCGCCGGAGCCTCTGCTGCATTTCGCATGAAATCGAATTTGGGAACTGCAAAAACAGAGGAACTTTTAAACAGAGAATTTATGGCTCTTTATTTTCATAATTTAGCTAAAATTTGAAGTAATAATATATAGAATTAAACTCAAAGATCAAACTGAACGAAGTAATTAAAATAATTAGAAGTTAAAAGCTGTTGAATTTCAAATTTGGGACCTTTTTGAGCTGAAGAACAGCCATGGCAGAGGAGAATTCCGGTAAGAGCAGCAGAGAAGAAATTCCGCCATGCAAAACCCATTTCTTCTCTCTGATTTCTAATTTTAAAGGAAGACCAAATTTGTTGGTTTATATAGAAGCTGCGGAGGGCGATTGCGACGGCGAGGAACTGAAGAGAGTGCAAAGAGTTCCTTGGACGCCTCTCTGTATCGCCGGAGAAATCGTAGAGAGATTTCAAGAAAATGTAGAGAATGTGAAATTCCTAAATAGTCCGACTGGTTCGCTGTGTAATTTAATGTGAAAGTCCTTCATTACCTGCAGCTTGAGCTTGTGGAAGGAAGAAGAAGCTTTTGGCTATGGCGGATCTTCTCTGAAACTGAAAGCCAGAGAGAGAGAAGTGTTTGTGGTAATTGCTAGTAGATATTGGGGTGAGTGATTTGGATTCATCTGCATGTCAACGCAATGAATTGGATGAATATGATTTTACGATCCAATTAACCTCATCATCACTGGTTTTTTTTTTTTTTTTAATAAAAAAAGTGATATAAAATGTAATAAATTTGTCCCACCAACGCATTGCTAATTAGGATAAAGTTTATGTTAATGAAAAAATAGGATCTATTAATGGCATATGAAACTGCATGGTATAGTTAATAAAGTACGAAAAATAACGAATTTTGAAACTGCATAGTAAGTGTTTAGGACAAGTGATTTTCACGATGATATAATATTATCTTATTTGAGCGTAACCTTTTACGACTTTACTTTTGATTTTCCAAAATGCATCATGCTACCAGAGATATTCATCTACAATAGTATAATATTGTCCACGTGCATAAGCTCTCGAAACATTGTTTTTTATTTTTTCTAAAATGTCTCATACGAATGGAGATTAAGTTTCACTTATATACCCACATTCCTTTCCTTAATTAGTTGTGTAAGACTTCGTTAAGAATGTAATTGTGAGATTCCATATTGATTGGGAAAGAGAACAGGGTGTGAAAACCTCTCTATAACAGACATATTGACAATATCTACTAGCACGTTGGATTTGAACGGTTACAAATAGTACAAAAAAAAAAGATAATATTTGGTAGCAGTGAACTTAGACGGGATGATACGAGTAATAATGGTAAGACAATTTCAACGTATAGTTCATTAAATGAACCTCCTAAAAGTCACGATTTGATCCCCACCAACAAAGATTAAGAAAACAAACAATTGTGAAGTACGGTAAGAGGAGGCTTTAATTGAAATCAACAACCTGATTAGAAAGTAGCTCACCTTCATTCGTCACAACATTTCCCCTTCTGTTCAGCTAGGCAGAACTAGTCTTCCATTCCCTTCGCATTAATTTCTAGTTCCAAGAAACAATAAATGGTAGTAAAAATCTGTTGAACTCCACCTGCCAATTCTCGTCTCCAAATGTACCATACATTAATAAATCAGCTGAAATGTTAGCTCAAGAATAATTACCATTCTTTATGAAATGACACTTCTAATACATTCCATGAAAATTTACAATTAATCACGTTTTCTCTAACTCCTCGTTCACTCAGAGACGGTTCCCTGCTTGTCAAGACCCAAAAGTTAGCATGAGATTATAGTTTGGATTCCCTACATTAATGGCAGCATCCATCCAGCTAACAGGAAAGGAATGGAGATCCACTCCCTCTTTTTCAACCACAGATTCAACTAAGCTTTCTATTAGGTAACTCTAAAGCGTAATGAGTGGTCCATAATCTCTCAGGGTGTTTTTCCAATATAAGCAGGCAGTTAAGGCATTTGCTAGGAGCAAGAACAATAAACTTTAAACGAAATCTCACAAATCTGGCTAACATAGGCATGCACATAAATATCATCTCTACTTCTAAGAGGTCGAAGCTTCTCTATTCCCATATATGTGAACTATATGTTGGGGACAAAATGTGAGAACAATAAACTTAAAAATCCAATAGATGATCTAAAGGAGTGAGATAATTTCCTGCAAGACATGGGACTAGCAAGTGCAAAAAATGGAGGGATGGACAAGGAAAAGAATTATGGATTTTGACGGATAGAAGAAACCATATCACTATCAGTATAGAGAGTTGTAAGTGTAGCAGGTGGAAACAATGGAGACTATACAAATGACGAGGGAGGGAATGAGTGTAACATTCAAGAGCATATTTCGGCCCAAGTAACCAGCAAGGGTTATAGTTCCATCTGCAATCACTCGTGCAATAGTCCCGGCTTCTGTTGATAGCAATCCACCATTGTAGGTACCACGAGAGAGCCGAGATGACATGACTCGGGAGAGAAGTGCGAGGTTCACACCTGTGTCGGACATGATCAAAAGAAAAATTGTCATTCTCAGTTAATAAAAGACGTTATATCCATTTTTTCTCTTATTGGACGCCAATTCCTCGTATGTTCTATTTTTTTGGTAGTTGTTAAGTAAGAGATTCCAGTAAACTATTTTCACCCAGCGAACATAATTCCCAGATATATATATATTTTTTAATTTAAATTTTAGATTGGAAGGGTGAGTTTAAGAACCTTTTAAGTTTCTTGTATAATGATTTTCCTTACTAGCTTTCTTGGAGAGGGAAAAGAATACATGTTAAGTGTTTTCTAAAATGCTTTATCACTCAGCAACTTTTATAGCACATTCAAATAGCATTAGAAGTAGAAAAATGTTTAGAATTAATTAAAAGTTCTATAAAAACTCGAGAACAACTTTTAGTAGATTCCTCACCTTCAAGCACTTCAGCCGACACAAACATGATAAGTCCAGAGCCCACATATTGAACCACAGAGTATGGAATTATTACATTGAAGCTCAAGAGGATACCTATCAAGACAAGAATTTCAGATACCAATAGTATTTGCCTGCAAGGAAGATAAAATGAAATAGGTGAGAGAAGTTCCAAGAGAGAGATGACATAGTTCTTCAGGGAAGGAAAATTTTAAATCAACAAAACATGTTCCTCATAATCCTTTCGAAGTATTACCTATCTTCGAACATATTGCTAATGTAACTACCGACAAAAATATTCACTGGGAGAACTGTTAGGCCAAGGCATGCCAGAAAAATTGCCACAGAGCTCGTGGACCAGCGAAAGTAGTATGTGGTAACAACACTAGACTCCGAAAGCAGAACTTCCATTGCATATTTCAGCATAAAATATATCAATAGCTGAACCTGTTGACATCAAATCTTCAGTTAAAATATTATGACATGCAAACTCAAGAAAAAAAAAAGTCATTTCAAAACAACAGTAGCTAGCAAGATAGATAGGTTATCTTAAAAAAAGAAAAAAAGGAAGTATTAAGTGCCGTTTCACAACAGTAGCTAGATTGTTATATGTACTTGGGATGTGAACCACATTGTTCAGTTGTACAAATCCCATGGGAACTATAAACGGTTTTGATTTCGGCTTTAACCATGCCTATTATGAATGGTATGTGACAATCTGTTAGAGAGCATTTTAAAATTCTCTCAAACAAAATGTAACTTCTAAATTTCATATATACAAAACTTATAGTGTCACCAAAAGTTAAGCCACAAAACCAAAACTCATTGAAATCCATTGTTGGTATGGGAAAGACAGACCGGCACTTCAGTCACCCAATTTTCAGTACTTGATTAAAATCTTCTAATGCTAAACTTCACCATAAAGGCACCAGATATATCAATCAGTCAATCTAATGAAAATGTATGATGTGAAAGCCCAAGTACTTTCTACACTATAGCAGATACCTTAACAGAAGGAGTGAGTAGTCTATACGCTGCGCCAAAAGAAGTCACTGGTAGGCGAGATTCCTCAGGAGCTTCTTCACTGTCATCAACTTCTGGGTCATCATCTTCATCTGATGGCTTCTCAAGCGAAGTAATAAGTAATGGTTGGTGAAGACCATTCTCAAGAGTGTCATTTTGAACTGTTCATTGATAATGATATATAAATTTAGCATGTTTTGATGATATGTGGAATAGTTGATTCTAATAAATGTTACATTACAAGTATAGTCAAACCTTTTAAGTTTGTATCAAAGTTTAAGAGTTTAATAGATCTTAATAAATCTATTCATTCTTTTATAAAAATAGAAATATTTATTTAGAAAATGTTAAATATGTTAAATATGTCAAGGTCCTATTAGAAAAAATGAAAATTTGAAAGTTCGATGATGTATTAGTCACTTTTAAAATTCAGAGACCGAATAAAACAAAACTGAAAATTAGGAACCTATTAACTTTTTGAAGTTCAAAGACCTATTAACCACGAACTTTTAAATTCAGTGACTAAGTTTGTAAAAGAAGCTAAAATAAATTACTATTCTCCAAAAGAAATATGCAGTTAGATGTCCTAGTGACGTCTCTAACTTAATACCAGGAGTACTCAAGCAGTGAAAAGTTTCAATTGGACCAGATAAAGTTTATTTTTACTTTGATAAAAACACATCAAGGAAATTGGACATAATAACAAACATGCAATTGACCTAACCGTATGGAAGTGCCTACCTGAATAATAGAATGATAAATTAAAATGTGATGCATTCATGTAAACATTTACAACATTGAACAATTATCATATAAAATTACCTTGATTTGATTCCTGTGGGGCATTCTCTTCATTTTCCCGTGGAGGTTCACGAAATGAGATACACAACCATATTAGATATATTAGCCAAGCCACAGCCATAACCCATCCAGGCAAAGTGTTTTGGTTAAAAGTGAGCTTGTAAATCTTAAACTTCGTTTGAAGTAACCCGGCCAAAGCTGGACCACAAGCCATTCCTAGAGCACTGGCACTAACAAATCCCGCTGATGCTTGCATTCGAATTTTTAGTGGTACACAGTCACTGATATAACGCCTATTAACAGCCCGAGCCGACCCCAATCTGCATTAAAAAAGTACAGTTCTGTCAAACGTCATAAGTACGTATTAACATTTCCCAACTCAAAGCTTGGTTGTCCCCACTAAAGGCAACAGGGATAGTTCAAAACCGTTCTAAGTTTGAGAGTCTCAGAATATTTGTGCCACACAATATAACAAAATAGTTTAGACCATTCTGAAAAGACTGTTTTTCATTTCAGAACTCGACACATTTGTACAACCAATAGAACAGGTCACGACTAAAATGGTTAACATAACAAAAACAAGCCAAGTATTATTATTTATTCCCTACACTAAACACTAATATCAGAAACAGTACATCAACTTAGAGACATTAGCATCCTTAGATTATTGGTAGTCAGATGCCATAAAACGCTGTGGATGTATATCCAAATGGAATGAACCATATATGAAATAACAAACAATTTAGCGCAATTCCGTGCAATCATTTCCTTATTGGGTATGGTTAGTGACGAGCAGGTAGAACTTTATGGAGGTGCAGATGCATGGAGTCCATGGCCATATGAGGTTCTGAATGCTAAGGAAAAGGACATCCCCGAAGACAATTTATATGGAATTCTAGAACACATTGAACATTAATCTATGACGAGAGAGAAAAAAGTGGACACCATAAGAGACTGTATTTTAATTAAATACTCAGTAAAGAAAAAAATAAACAACAAAAAAATTAAAAATACAAGAGATTACCTACCCACAGCAAAGACGTCCAATTAAAAGAACCCAGAGTGATTGAAGATCATAAGCAAGAGCATATAATGTGTTTCCGAGAAAGAGAGCAACACTGCTAAATATTAGAGGTTTGAAGTAAGATCTATTTGACCATGCACTGAAGTAAACTGATGAGAACACTTGTGCAACTGCCATGGCTCCAATGACAATACCACATACAGTTGCCGCAGCTCCAAGGCTCATGGAGTAGTCATCGGCTGTTGGGACCACAATATATGTATTGACCATGTATAGGAAGGTATTTGCTAGGTTCAAGATAAGAGACATGAAGTGGTAATTGCTATCATCAACTTGTTCCTCAATGGGAGCCGGCAATTCTTCTCGCATAATGAGGGCATGTTGTGCCAAGAAGTTTAGGAAGTTTGTTGAGTTACTTAACCTGTCCACAGCAGCTTTAATTGAATCGACTACGGGGTCCTGCATGTGGGGATTGGAATAAATAACATAGCTGAAGTAACCTTTAGACTACTGTTAGATTTGTTAGGAAGTCTAAGGGAAGCATTGACAACTAAAGCAAGTAGCAACAAAATGAGCCAACTCCTACCAACCTGGAGAGGGATCACAGGCTGATCATATATTGATAGATAGCTTCTTCCTTGGCGGTCCTGAAGTTCATGCAAGTTACGTGATATGGCTCCAACAACAGCTCCTATTCCCTACAAGTTCATTTCTAGCCAGTGAAAATTCATGAAAATTAAGCTTACGAGTTTTTCAGCCTTTAATCAGTACCCCTGTACCAAAAGTCAGACATACAACTTGGAATGTAGAACAATATTGAAAATTTCAACACATTATATCTGAAGTTCCTTGAACAATAATGAGACAAGAAGAATACAAAAATCAGCATCAGACAATGACATATTACCACATGTTTGAAAACTTGCTGCAGCTGGGAGTAAGGATGGTTGGCACGTGTTTTGACATAGTAGTCAGTAAATCTATAACCGAACCGCTTGTCAAACTTTTTCAAAATTTTACGCAGACCAATTGCATTTATCTCAACAAAATATAGAAGCCTTAAAAGATCTTGGCCTGCTGCTCTGTAAGCTTCCCGCAGTTCAGTGATTTGGGATATTTCAGGTTCTTCTTGGAGAGCATCAAGCCGTTCATCAAGTTTGGCTATACGGCTTGCAAGAAGGCCTTGTTGCTCCAACAGAAAAAGTACAATCTTCTCAATCTGATTTGTCAGAAAATGAATTTCAAAGTTGTTAGCAGATGGGAACATAACTTAGATTTACACGATCTCATAATATAGAAAACATTCAGTTCCAAAGCAGCACAGAAACAGTATAAGTACTTTTCAGCTCAGAAAATAATGCTAAAACCTATATTTATGATTTGTAGTCATAGAAGTATTCCACCACGTAAATTAGAAGGAAAGGGGTTGTGCATTGTTGAGTACATACAGCATACTATACAAACACACAATTGCAAAAAGAAAGGGGGAGCACTCCTGAGACTACTATGCAATTACCACACAATTTGTTGCACTTTGCTTCCTGTCATATTCAAAAGGTCTATACACAGGTGTGTGTGAGTGTTGAAATTGATGACACGATACATATTCAGTTCTTTTATGCTTACAGCATAAAGAACAATATCAAATAAAATTTAGAAATTCCTAATGCTGATCAGTTAAATTAGAGATTCAAGATTTAAATAATATACCAGCAAGACAATAGATTAACAACAAATTTTTAGGGGACAAAAGCATGACAAAGAGATTCATTATTAGCATACACCATCACTTATCAAAGCCTTAACTAATTCTTCTCAAGAAAAGGGATGAGCAATATTCACCTGGTTGTCCAGCATTCTTGAAAAATCCTTGAGAACGTGTCGACGATCTTGTGTTCCAACTTCCATTTGTTGTGCATATTGTTTTACCTTCTTCTTCATAAGCTTATAGTTGATGTAATATCTGGACAAAAACAAAATTGTGAAACAAAGGAAAAGCAGCAATAGCATAATTAACGAGCAAATATATACTTCAAAAGATAAAAAATGTGGAAGTATCATAAGCATAAAATTCCAAATCACATTTAGAAAGTAATATTTACCGTCTCTTTCCTTTCCTTCTAAAATGCAAGGACAATAGAAAATTCATATTCCGTTTTAATCAATCTACTTAAGCTGAATTCTTAACTCAACTTCTTACTCCACATTTATGAAGGGATAATCCTGATGATGAATTAAAGACTATTGTTCGAGTAAAATGCAAGTCTAACCAAGGACCATTGGCCTCATTCTTATAAGTGGTCAACAGAGTAAAGACTATGACTAAACTCAAGAACATTATTTATTGAGATTCTGCATAAATGATTGTCATCTTGTTAAAATAATAGAAATCCACAATGGAAGTTAAAGAGTATCAATATGTAGACATGAAACATTGTTTAATTTCTATTCAAGAGACATTGTTTAATTTCTATTTTTTCCCATCGATTAAAAGACTGGTTGCTAGCACACTCCACCAAAAAAGATAACTGAAATAATGCAAAACAGATATTGGTGCATCACACTTACCCTTGCCATTCTTCAAGCTGTCTTTCCTTTAACTTCTTTCCAAAGGCAACCATCTCTTGCTTTGTAAATTTTGGTACTTAAAACCAGGCCAAGAATACACAGGGATACAATCTGCAAGGAGAACAAGTTATTGATAACACCACAGTCAAATGCCCATTTACTAGGATCAGTTTCTTGAACTCTTCTCAGCACTTCCTAAACATAAAGTGACCCAAATAGTTAGGTGAGATTCCATTGTCCCAACAATAAATTAGGCTGGCATCTTTTACCCCTTAGCAAACTGGCAGATCATCTGGCATCTTTGTGTGAAAATAATGAATATATAGAGCATACATATTAATATAGTTTATTCACTCACAGAAATTTATATACCATTTGAAAAACAATGGACATCTTTTGTAGATACATGAGCTTAACTAGTCATTAATCCATCGCATAATTATCGAAATAGAAGATGTACAGATCCATGAGCCATACTAGTTCTAACAATACATCAAATACTCTCCATCTAATAATTACAGAAATACAAAAATTTGGTATCAAGTATTAGGGGAGGAAGTTGAAATATATGGGAGTGAATGCTATTACTTACTAGACTAGTTCATATTCATGGGAGTTCCAGTTCATTTCACTTGATAGTGCAAAAGAGCAATCCAATCGACTAAGATTATACCCAAAAAAAGGGCCGAAACATTTTCTCTCATAAAAACTACGATGAGACAGATTCCGCACTGTTTATTTTATCTTCTTTTTGACACACCTATTTAGTTTATACTTCAATACACTATTGAGAAAGACGCCTTTGTTTTAAAATAAAGGATTTAGAAATTTGTAGTTCATTAGACCGCAGTATCTCATAATTTCAAGATTAGATCGACATATTGATAAACGACCCCACACGCCAGGCATCAATGAAAGAAAACTTGAGCGAAGTTAAGATGGTATAAGAAGCTAAAGCTGAATCAATGCTTAAATATCCAACTCCATAGCTGAACGAATGACTCATGAATTTGAGGTTTAACTAATCTCCAAAAATATCCGCTGTTTCGTTGCTAAAACACTAAGAGCATGCTTATTCATACGCAACAATAACAAAGTACTAAAACAGACGAAACGAAGGAAAAAAAAAAGGTAAAAACCACAACAATCAAACATTCCACAAGCTCCGACGATAAAATCTTACAAATCAAGTTAACATAAGAGAGAAAACGAGAGAAGCGTCTTACCTGAGAGATAGAGGGGAAAAAAAAATCGAAACTCGGATTCAGAAACAGCTGCAAACGAAAGCTTAGACAACCATTAAGGAACTTCTACAAACGGAAACAGAACGAAATCAAGTAAAAGACGGAAGGCAGAATCATTTCCTGAAAAAGAGAAATGATCTCCATTAGCATGCAAAACGAGTAAATAACAGCGAAGAACAAAGCGCGTACCTGAAAAATGGATCAAAACAGCCCGAAAATCGCACACCAGAATCCTTCTCCAGCAACTTGATTTTGTTTTGCCACACTTTTCTACCGGCGATATAGAAATTTGAAAAATGACGAATCGAGAGGAGAAATTTTTGGAAAAAGAAAGCCACTGGGATGGGGATGTACGTTATGTTGTCACGGTGTTGGCGTCGGGTTGGATTTATGGGTTTCCGTAACAAACAATCAGACGCCAGAAATCTACTTTACTTATGGATATGTAAATACTGAGATCCATTTTCATCCATCATCAAGGAGATTCAAACATTTAGCCTCCTAACCTTCCGTTAATATCGTTGGATTATGAAATTGTTTGAATTGGGTTGAATTTAAATAAATTACCTAAATTGAATAATAAATTTTGGAGTGGACCAAAATGAATTTATTGTTAATTTAAAAACAATACAATTATCCGTATTTATTTTATTTTTTATTTAACATTATAACTTCAAGTTTTAACTATTTGAAATGTAATTAATAAATAAGTGTTAAATCTTTTATTTATATATATATATATATATATATATATAAAATGTCACAATCGCACTTTTTATAGCAGTGGACTTGCAATGGTGCGATACTCAGTTCTCAGCAACAAGTGAGTTAAGTCAATTCATTCTTGTGTCGCCTACAGCCAAGCAACGTATGCTCGAGACTCTAGCCCCAATTCAAGAAAAAAATTTTAGAAAACAGGGACAGAGATTTCGAAATAAAGTTTTGAAAGGAAGATTTGAAATATTGAGATTGGTGTCCGAGTAAAAAAATTTATAGTTTAGTCTAAAAAAATTGGTAACCCGACCCATTTAATTTTAACTTTTATTCTAGAATTGAAATTAATTTTCACTCACATGAGCATTCATTCCTTTTATCTTACTTTTCATTAATCATATTTTTGTTATGATTTTTGCATTAAGAATTTCACAGTATAATGATTTTTTTATCTTATAAATTTATGGTTTAATAAACGTGACGTTCGAGTTTACAATAAATTAATTAAAATTATAGAATCATATAATTTTAGCAGCAAAATATATTTTTGAAATTATGAAAAATAGGTAACTTGGTTGGCAATAATAATAATAATAATAATTGCAATTCCTCAACTTGCAATAAGTCCCTATCACTGGCTTTCTATTATTTTATAATATTGAGGAAATTAGCACTTTCCCAATTTGTATTTTATAATATGCTTTCCATTGTCTAATCATTTCCATCCATTCCCTTTACAATCCTTTCATTGCCTTTCCATGTGCATTGCAAGTAGAAACCCTTTCTTTTTTCTCTTAAAAATAATATAGTTTTTTATTTATTTATGTATTTCTTTTAAATACTATTCTAAAAAAAAATTATCTTACTTTCAATTATTCCGTTTTAATTTTATTTTTTATTAGCATTTTCTTTATATATTTTATTAGGATATTACAGAATATAAAATTGTTTCTAAGTTAATCATAAATATTTAAGTATGGGGATCACTCTCATTTATATGTGGTCAATTAGAATTGAGATCATTAAATATTAAAAAAAAAAAGACAAATCAAGTAACATATTGGAGATCGATCGAGATATTCAATAAAATACAACTAATTAAAAATAAATAAATAATATTTTCAATGACTTTTTTTAATGATAACGAGTTAAAAAAAATGAGTGTATCATATCCCACCTCGCTATTAATAAAAAAATATGATTGGATAATATTTTCCTAAAGTTTGGATTTTCCCCCATTTTTTCAATGTAAAGTTATAACATTGGCCCTACAAAGAAATAATTGGAAGTCAGCATATATTATATAGTTATATATATAAATATATATTACCCAACAAGGAAGTAAAAGAAAATTTACCGTAGGGGAGACACGGCATCTAGGCTCATTCAATGTTGTATGATGACAGGTGGAAGCCATGGAAATGTTGTCGGTCTGTTATGGTGGGACCCACTATCCCACCTGTCTGAAACGAACAACAGTGCATCTTTATTCCAAGTTCCGACATGGCGTATGGGTACAGGCCACGTGGGAGAGCCGTATGACCTTTATTTATTTATTTATTTAATATTAAGATTTGCAAAATAAAAACCAATCATTTTTTCAAAATAATAATTAGTTGGGTGATTACAAATTCAACCACCAATTAAAAAAAATTAAAAATTAAAAATTAAAAAGTCTTCCCTCAAATTTATTAAAATAAAGGTTTTCACGTGTTTCAACGATTAATTAATTTATTTAAGAGATGAGATTATAAAGTGACTCGAAATTTATAATTAGTGTACAACTCTTTTTTGTTAATAGCCTACTCCATTTGAGTTGCTTCTTATCGATCGGTCTCATACACTTAGTAAATAAATAAGTTAATTGTTAAAAATATGCAAATATCACTTTAGATCAATAAACGAAATAAGGTGATGAAGTGACTCGAGATAATGTGATTTGTAAGATTCCACATTGGTTGAAAAGGAAGATAAAACATTTCTTCTAAGTGTGTGAAAATCTCTTCTTAGTAGACGTGTTGTTACATGCATGACTAGTGTACCACTCTTTTTCATTTAGAATGACCTCTTATCGATCATTTCCTTCTTAGTTAAGAACCCATATAAGTTGGGTGAATCTTTTTTATCGAGATTCGCACATAATGATGAGGCAAAAAATAAATAATGGTAGAATGTGGGCCAATTTCTACATGTGGATGCCAAAGATTCAAAGCTGCCCCCACCACCTATGTTAATCAATTATTTGATAATAAGAGGAACATTTTCTACCTTTCTTTCTTATTGTAATAAATACCCGTACTTCAATATCTCAACAATAAATCATAAATAAACAATTTTGTTACATCAATTTCCACAAAATATATATATATATATATTTTTTTTTTGTGTTTTGAATATGTTTTTAAGAAAACAAAATTGTTGTCTAATTAGTGTATATATATATATATATATTTTAATATTTGAAGGCTAACGTTTACTTATCCAAACAAAAAATAAATAAATACTCTTAAAAAAAATTAAAAGTACTATTTACTAAAACATGCTCTTGAATTTTCAAAAGTAATATTTTAAAAATTTTAAATATAAATTTTTCCCTTAGCACAGGAACAAGGAACAGAACGACCACATTTAAAAAATACTCATAAATTTTTGAAAAATACCATTTTTAGACTTTTAGAAAATAAAATTAAAAAGTTTGGGAATGATTTATAAAACATAGATAGATAGTTTCCGTACATATATTGACAATAAAAATTTTATAAACTTTTTTTAATAAAAGTTAAATAGTATTAATGTTATTTTTAAAATTTTATGTTGCTTGCAAAACAGAATGTTTACATTAATGAACAACATGGATTTTGTTTGTAAAATCAAAAGTAATTTCAAATATAAATATAAAAATCAAAATAGAAATTAAATAAAACGTGTATTACTTTGTGTTGGTTCATCTGTTAGGCCCAAAAGAGCTTTCTGGACATTAAGGGCCCAACCCAAATTTTATCTATAATGAATAAAAACTAAAATTTATATGATCAATTCTCTTAAAAAAAATATTTTATAAAAATATGTTAGAGACGTATTAAATGTAAAAATCGAAGTACAAATGATAAGACTATCCTAATCCTCATCCAACGATCTAAACTTTTGTTGAATTAAGAACCCTTGAATCAAAGAAATTAACACCTTATTATACAAAATACAGATCAACTAAGAGATAAAGGCTAAAATTAAATTATCTACGATAAAAAAAAATATAAGAGTAAAGAGTCACTTCACGATCAAATGAGATCAAAACTTGATTGAATGGCTCGAATGCAATGTACACAAAAATTTCTTAAAAGTAAAAAAGATGAGAAAAGTGATATTAAGAGTGAAAGTCAACTAAAATATGTTCCGCAGTCCTACATTAAAATAATAAATAAAATTTTAAAAAATAAAATATCAATAAGTGCTATTTATAACAATCTCATCTTTGTAAGCTGGAGGGAATAAATGGTTGTTAAACAAAATTAGGGTGATGGGTGAGAATTTGATTGACAAAAAAAGGGAACAAAATCAAACACACATCCCCCACTCTCTTACTTTTCCCATATACTTGTGTTTTATTCTCTGTCTCTCCCTCTCCGACACAATCTTCAAAATTCCTCAAACCTCTCCTTTTTCTTTTAACGGCTCAAACCTAACAGATTTTTTTTTTTTTTTTTTTTTTTTTTTTTTTTTTTTAAATTT